CGGGGTTTCACCATGTTGACCAGGATGGTCTCGATCTCTTGACCTCGTGATCCACCCGCCTCGGCCTCCCAAAGTGCTGGGATTACAGGCTTGAGCCACCGCGCCCGGCCTCTCATTCTGTTTTCAAATCTCTTCTTTTTCCTTTTCTCCTTCTTTCTCCAGCCCCTGTATTACCTTTCTTCTATTTCTTGGTTATCTCGGTCACAAGCATAATGTAACAATGGAAATAATGAGAGCTTTAATGTCAAGACAGGCCTGGGCTCAAATCTCATTCCAGTCCTTTACAAGGTACGTATCCTTGGACAAGCTAGCTCTCTGAGGCTTGTCTCTAGTTCTTCCACACCTTGCCTGCATCAGGTGTTTCTAAACTGCATCAAAGTTCACCTAATTCAAAGTTGAGTAAATTGCTGATAACAATGGGGCAAAGAGGAAAAAAACACTGAAAAATGTAAGTTTTAAAAAACAAATAATTGAAATTAAAACTATCACTTAAGTATATTTGGGCTGGGTATTGTGGCTCATGCCTGTAATTCTAGCACTTTGGGAGGTCGAGGTGGGTGCAATGAGCTCAGAAGTTTGAGACCAGCCTAGGCAACATGGCTAAACCTGTCTCTACAAAAAAATACAAAAAATTAGCCAGGTGTGATGGCATATGTCTGTAGTCCCAGCTACTCAGGAGGCTGAGATGGTAGGATCACCTGAGTCTGGCAAGGTCCATGCTGAGTGAGCCATGATTGTGCCACTGTATTCCAGCTGGGTGACAGAGTAAGGCCCTGTCTAAAAAAAAAAAAAAGTAAATTGGGAGATAGCACGCATATTCACTGCATTTTTAAACTGACTTTCATTTGGGATTTTATAAATTTTTTTTTTTTTTTAATATTATACAGAGATGAAGTCTTCCTATGTTGCTCAGGCTGGTCTCAAACACCTGGGCTCAAGTGATCCTCCCACCTTGGCCTTCCAAAGTGCTGGGATTATAGTCATAAGCCACTGCGTCTGGCCAGGGATTTTGTACTTGGTTTTCCAAGCACATTTTTAAAGGTGATTTTCCTTCAGAATTTTCTGTTTTAAAGTCTGTGCTGAGTAGTATTACCCACCTATGGGAGGTCTGAATCTTTCAAGGCACTGCTTATCTTCAAGGCTGCATGCTGTTGAAATCACTTTGGCTCCTCTATGATGTGCTAACTGAATAGCTATGGTACCAAATGCCTGTGTAGAAAAAAAATATGCAGTGGGTGTATGGTTTTAGGGCAGAGGCCATTTCTAATTGATTTCTTTAGATTATTTAATAAAGGACAATTCTTTAGTGTTACTTTAGTATATTTTAAAATGTTATCTAATAGGAAAAGAGCAAAGTTTTGGGCAAGTTTAGTAGGGGAAATGTTTGGGTGACTTTCACTTGCTGTCACCCAGTCTGACCACAGCACATAATTTCAAGGATGAAAAGCCACATTCAGACACATGGCCTCGCAAACAGAAAACTGGGTCTTGTTGATGTGATGGTCTAAGCTAATTGTGTAGTATTTATGGGAGTCCAGCTACCTCTCTTTGAAGATCAAAACACTTCAAAAGCTCCATCCTGTTCAGGCCTATGGGGTAAGTTCGGGGAAACACTACTATCCTGATGTTGGACATCAGGCTGAGGCCAATGCCGAAGACAGTTCTGCCTTTTCTTCTAAGAGAAGCAGGAAAAAAGCATTTTCATCACAAGCCAGTTAGAAAATAAAACTGTAAGTTCATTTCAAGTTTTTCTTAACATTTTTAGATTATAATATTTTCTGTATTCTTTTAGTGTCTTGAACTATTTTTAAATATATGTAATATGTTTAAATTAGGACATGTTGATCTTTGGTGTGATCCATCTATCTATAAAATGCCAATACTTGATCAACATAATTGTAAGGGTGGGAAATAGGCTACAAAACTGGTAGGGAGCTCTGGACAATGACTTCAAAGGCTCATGTGGTATCTTACTTTGTGTAACAAGAATGAATAAAAATGGATTGTCTGCTTTTTAATGTACCAGCAGATTCAAAGTAATAAACAAATCACACTAAATCTAAAGTTGATCGTCTATTGATAAAAGCTGCTTATTATAACAAAATAGGATGCTGGAATAAAAGTCAATTAATAACATACTGGCAAATAATTATATTAGCAAATGGATGGCTCATTGCTAAATTCCCTAAGTTTACTGTATGCTGCTTTCTTTCGTTCTTTCTTTTTTTCCAGACAGTCTTGCTCTGTTGCCAGGCTGGAGTGCAGTGGCACGATCTTGGCTCACTGCAACCTCTGCCTCCTAGGTTCAAGTGATTCTCCTGCCTCAGCCTCCTGAGTAGCTAGGATGACAGGTGCCTGCCACCACGCCCAGCTAACTTTTTGTATTTTTAGTACAGACGGGGTCTTGCCAGGATGGTCTCAATCTCCTGACCTCGTGATTCGCCCGCCTTGGCCTCCCAAAGTTCTGGGATTACAGGCCTGAGACACCATGCCTGGCTGTTGGTCTGTTTCTTAACAAAACCATTAGCACCTACACTTGCTCCATCCATTATCAGCACTGATTTCCCAGCAGAGAGATGAGAAAGATAATGCAGAGCTGTATAGGCACGCACTCCATCCCGAATGGTTCCTGCTGCTTCTGTCCATGTGACCTTTTCTGGTTTATGAACTATCATAAAGAACAAGAAGAAACAGTCTGTTAGCAAGTCCCATGAGTCCTGCCTTCTGGATCTTTTTCTCTCCATCTCTACTACCACTGTGGCCCTGGTCCAATCCCCTGCTCCCATTCTCTCTCACCTACATTACTTTCCATTATTGCCCATGAATAATCCATTCTCCATCTAGGAGTCAGTATGTGTGTATTTTTAATATTGTGAAATAAAAAACATGCAGAAAAAGTATATAAAATATAAAGTATAGTTGGATGAATAAATATAAAGGACATATGCAAAGTTAACTACCATACTGGTGGACAAAGAGCACACCCATCACCCCAGCATCCTCTTGTCTCCTCTTCAGAGGTCACCACCATTCTCATGCAATTTCCTATTTGTCTTTTCATGTATCACTCAAGTACGCATTCTTAAATAATACAGTTTCATATTGCCAAGGCTTTAAACCTTATCTGAATGGAATGACACCATATGCATTCTTTTCTACCTTGCTTTTTATGCTCCACATTATGTTTTTAAGACATCCTTTCTGTGGATGAGACTGTTGGAGCACTTTCATTTTGTTGTTTTATGGTATTCCAACATATTAAAAACACCTCCATTTGCTTATTCATGTCTAGCTGATGAACATTTGTGTTGTCTCCAGTTTTTTTCAGTTACAAACAATGCTGCTAAGTGTGTTCTTGTATGAAAGATACTGTTGCACAGTGCATGGTTTTCCTAGGATATTTAATTTGGAGTAGAAATCCTGAATTTCCACTCTGGGTTTATTATCTGTTCCATAACTACATCTTTCCAAAGTGACTGTTATCAATTTACTTTTCCACAGTAGTGTCCTGGTGCTGTGAATGTCCTTGTCAACTCTTGGAATGATCACATTTACAAATTTTTACCAATCATGTAGGTATGTAATAGTTTCTTACTATGATTTTCATTTGCTTTCCCTGACTACTAAAAGAGGATGAGCATCTTTCCATGTTTACTGGCCATCTGGAATTTCTTTTGTTAATTCCTTTTTCAAGTGTTTATCAGTTTTCTATTGTTTTGTCTTTTTCTTATTTAAAGATTTACAGGAATTCTATATATAGTCTAGATAAGTCATTTGTTTATGTGCTATAAATATTATTTTCAAGTTTATGCTATTTTCAATCTCTTTTAACAGTATTTTTCAAAAGCAGAAGCACTAGAATGATATTTTAAAAAAGATAAATGACATCCTAACAATTCTCTGCTTAAAATTTATCAATGGCTTCCCACTGCACGTGGAACCAAATGCAAACTAATATAGCTTAAAAAGCTCTGCATGATCTGAGCATTAAACTATTCCCAAACTGTTTTATTATTTAATTTTTTGTTTTGTGTTTATATTGTAAACTGATGTGATTTTTCCAAAGCACAAGAAATTATTTCTCATTTTACCTAAAATCAACTTTATAACACTTTCACAGTCTTCATCAGCTCTTTCAAATGTTTCCCCTAATAGCAATGATTCACACAAACTAGCCAGAGCAGTCAGCACTGCATTGAGCAACAAACTAGTGCCATCTAGTGGGGGAAGTGGAGTATTCAAGTATGCATGTTGAAATGCTCAGACAAGAGCCGAGAATTAAAACCATAAAAACACATTAACCACTAGATGATGGCACGCACAGTACTTTATTCCTTAGGAAATTCTTTAAGATTGCTATTCTCCCAATTTTACAGATTATGAAATAGGGTTCAGGGTAACTGATTAATTTGTCTAAGGCCACATAGCTTAGAAGGTGAACATATGACTTTTAAACACATTTATTCCAACAGTGCATGCTCAATCAACATATAATTTACTTATTGGGAACATATTCCATCATAAGGATTGAGACTACCATATTTTTATTAAAAACTCAATCATGCAGTCCTTAAAGAAATGCTAACTGTGGCTGGCGCGGTGCCACACACCTGTAATCCCAGAACTTTGGGAGGCCGAGGCGGGCGAAATCACCTGAGGTCAGGAGTCTGAGACCAGCTGGCCAACATGGTGAAACCCCATCTCTACTAAAAATACAAAAATTAGCCAGGCATGGTGGCAGGCACCTGTAATCCCAGCTACTCAGGAGGCTGAGGTAGGAGAAGCTTGCACCCAGGAGGCGGAGGTTGCAGTGAGCTGAGATAGCACCATTGCACTCTGGACTCTGCACGAGACTCTGTCTAAAAAAAAAACCAAAAAACAAAAAAACTGCTAACTGCAGTAAAATTATATTTAAGATTTCAGCGGTTCTAAAATTGCATGGTTAGATGTGGGTTAATGTCAACATACTTGATTTTGTGTTGGAGGTCCACAGGTGTTTATCATGCTATAAAAACTTAAAAAATAAGGCCGGGCGTGGTGGCTCACACCTGTAATCTTACAACTTTGGGAGGCTGGGTGGATCACCTGAGGTTGGGAGTTCGAGACCAGCCTGACCAACATGGAGAAACTCCAGCTCTACTAAAAATACAGAACATTAGCCCAGTGTGGTGCATGCCTGTAATCCTAGCTACTCGGGAGACTGAGGCAGGTTTGAGAACCGCTTGAACCTGGGAGGCAGAGGTTGCACTGAGCCGAGATCACACCACTGCACTTCAGCCTGAGCAACAAGAGCAAAATGGCATCTCAAAACAAAACAAAACAAAAAACCAACAAAAAAACCACAACCAAAAAAACTAAACTAAACAAATAAATGAGAGCCATATTTCAGCATCCAAGAGTTATAATTTGATTGCTTTCTAGTTTAGGTCCAAAGGAATAAAAACAACAATGCTGAAAATGCATGCCAAATTTTAAATGAAAAATAAAATTAGTTTTAGGCTTGACAGAATTGCTTAAGAACTGAAAAGTAGAAAAGAGTTGGAAAAATTACTCTACTCTTTAGCTCTATTGTCAAGGTTGAGAAACAGGAGGAACACCATATTGTGGGGGAATGTTTGAAACATAGTTCTTTGGTTTGGCAAATGAACAGACTCATTTGAGTTGAAAGTGACTGAGCGCTGAGCGCTCATTAAACAATCACAAAGACCAGGCATGGTGGCTCGTACCTGTAATGCCAGCACTTTGGGAGCCCAAGATGGGAAGATCATTTGGGCTCAGGAGTTCAAGACCAGCCTGGGCAACGTGGCGAGATTTGTCTCTACAAAAACAAGTTAGCCAGGCATGGTGGTGCGTGCCTATAGTCCCAGCTACTTGGGAGGCTGAGGTGGGAGGATTGCTTGAGCCCAGGAGTTTGCGGCTGCAGTGAATCGTGATCATTTCACTACATCACAGCCTGGGCTACAGAGTGAGACCCTGTCTCAAAAATAAACAAACAAAAAACAAAACACCAAAGACAAATAAAAAAAACCACAATTTATATATATGAAAGAATCAGCTGGGCATGGCTCATGCCTATAATCCCAGCATTTTGGAAGGCTGAGGTGGGCGGATCACAAGGTCAGGAGTTTGAGACCAGTCTGACAAACATAGTGAAACCCCGTCTCTACCAAAAATACAAAAAATTAACTGGGTGTGGATATGCACGCCTGTAATCCTAGCTACTCAAGAGGATGTGGCAGGAGAATCTCATGAACC